ATGTCTTTGTAACAAAGCTTGCACATCAGTCTATTAAAAAGAATTCTACATGTAGCAACTTAATAAACTTTTTTAGCAATTGCAGCAAATACTGAGAGAAAATCCATGCTGCTAATCAAAGGGTGCTCCACATATTTCTTTGTTGATACTAGCTAATAACACATTGAATTTTGTGTGGCTGGCACAGATTCTTGTTTTTTTCCAGAATGTTTAAGCTATCATTTTTAACTTAACCTTTAATAGATATTCGTAGATAATATAGAATCACAGTAATCTGAGAAGTTGGTCTTTTTAAGTTCTGATATTAGGGCAAAGGGAAGGGTGAAGTTTTTGCAGAGAGCACCTTGAATTTAGAACATTATTTGTACTTTAATTTACCCAAGTCAACACTCAGCAATGTTTCTGAAATGTTGCAGGGATCAACCTTTTCTGTGATAGGGTCAGATAAAGGTAAACTAGTTGCTGAGGGTTTTTTTGAGTTGGAGATCCTTCAGAGGGATCTGAGTTTGTTGTTTTAGAAACACCTGCACAAAGCTTTTCAAAAAGCTTGCCAGTAACTTGTGTGGTATTTTATCAGTTTTTAAACGAGTTTGTATGAGAAACACTTGTGTGACTTCGTTTTTAACATTGGTGAAATCATTAAAGGGAAAACTGGTTTCTAAAGCTAGATGAGCTTAACAAATGCTTGTTTTTGAAACTGCATGAACCTTTATCAATTGAATTGTGGCCACATTACCAAATTCAAAATAGACCTTTAAAGGCAGTCAGTTATTAAAGGCATTGACGGGTACCAGTTAATGATATGTAATATGTGTAATACACAAAACAATTCCATGATGCCATCACATTTCTACATGATATCAGCTGCTACTAGAAGTGTTAAACACCTTTACTGTCAAGTTATCCATAACACCTGGTTAGTCCTTACATGGAACAGCCCAGCCTGGTTCTGCTCCGTACCATCTGGTAATTCTGTGCTTTTGCTGCTGGCCCCACCCCGAGCTGGTACAGCCATGCCTCCTCAGCCTTTCCTCTCCAGGAAAAGCTCCACTTCACTCCAGGGGTGTGAAGTGGGGGAGACAGCATCTGGAGGTAGCTTCGACCCTCTTCACCTCTTCACCTCCTCCCTCTCCTCCCACAGCCTCCTTAGGTTGCCTTCACTTGGCGACAAAGCCCAAGGCTGGTCCCAGCCCAGCAGCGAGGTCAGATAAGGTGAAGCAGAAGGGACTTGTGATTGGGAGAGACATTCTGCCTTCATTCAGACTCTCAAAATACACTACCCACTTCCACCAAAGATTTAAGCATGATAAAAAGGTTTTTTTTCTTTTTTTTTTTTTCCCCTTTGGTATAAAAATCGAATGTTTCTACCCATCTCAATCAGAAATAATAAATGTGGCAAGAAAGATATTTGTTAAATTGGATAACAAGCAAAGCTCTTGATATGTTTGGAGAGAGGATAAGTTTATAAACAAAACCAAAGCTATGTTAGGTATTGGAATTTGTATCCCCAGTTCCCTTGGCAATAAGCCAAATAGATCAGTATCTCATCAACTATTTTTTTGGTCAACATCACAGGAACACTCTTTGAACACTCCTTTAATTGTAAGTTGCAATATTTTTGTTTGAAATATAACTGTTAGATTTTTTACGTAAGAGACATACTTAAAAAAAAAAAAGCCCTATGATCTTCAGATAAGCCATATCTTTGAGGTTTTTGCTATGAATAGATTTACAAGCCATCAAGATATTTACCCTATTCAGGATAATCAATATAATTGGGCCTGACCCAAATATAATTTGAACCTGACCCGAAGTCATTTCAAATAATAGAAAAGATTGACTTCAATTAGCCTTAGATAATGTCCTAAAATATTTGTCAAATAAAATACAGAATCATTATACTTGCATAACCACTTTTTAGGTTAAAGGTTATAGTTCTCCTAGCTTTATAGTTAATTTGAGTTTATAATCCTGTGATCACTTTCATTAAAAATCCTTGTCATGGATATAATTTTAACAAAATAGGAGAGAGATACTTTTTTCCTCCTTAATATTTCATGAATGCTCTAGGTGATTAATTAAAAATTGTCTTATAGAAATAAACTTTGAATCAATATGACTATGTAAGACAAGGGCCACACAGGCATTTCATGGTATTCCTTAATTCAGTAGCAATGCAGCATTTAGTAGTTGTTTGATACAAACCATGAAGATGTTCAAAATGTACAGTTTCAGGAATCTCAGGAAGATGAAATCGCCCTTAGTTGACACAAATCCCAGAGAGTGCAAGAGACTCAGTTAATAATTTTGCACAATATTCCACCTAAGTAGAATATATGTGATAAGACAAGCAACATATATAGTGATAAGACAAGGGGCAATGGATTTAAACTGAAAGAGGGGAGATTTCGATTAGATATAAGGAAGAAATCCTTCGCTCTGAGGGTGGTGAGGCACTGGAACAGGTAACCCAGAGAAGTTGTGGGGCCCCATCCCTGGAAGTGTTCAAGGCCAGGTTGGATGAGGCTTTGAGCAATCTGGTGTAGTGGAGGGTGTCCCTGCCCATGGCAGGGGGGGTGGAACTAGATGATCTTTGAAGTTCCTTCCAACTCAAATCATTCTATGATTCTATGATATATTTGGTGCTCCAGTTAGCATGGGAGAAAATTTCTTTCAGTCATTTGTGAGGTAAAGATTCAACAAAACATGCAAAAGCAGCTCATTTTGATAAATAGTCCTTATGTTCTCCACTGCATGCTGTGCACTCCCCACAGATTGGTTCCAAATATATTTTTGGAACAAATGAAGCATAGGTGAAGCGTAAAAGCATGGATTTGTGTGTATAGGTAAACTTCATATATCTGTAGTAGTTGTCCATATGTCAACATGCCAGTACAGGACAAGACAGAGGTAACTCATGCAAAAGGGAAATGTGGGGATATTGCTCTTCAGCACACAAGACAAAGGTGCAAAAATCTAATTATTGCTGCATGCTACTGCTCAATTAATTCTAAAATAAAAGAGCAATTTAAAAAAAAGATACATTTTTTACATAGCATCTTTCTGACGTACTGAATGTTTGGGCTTTACGGTCTTAGATTATCAGATTATCTCTGTTTTTCCAAAACAAATCAGTAAAAAGTACTCAGTAATGTATCATGACTTCATCTCCTTCCTGATATGCCTCAAAAGCTGTGGTGTCCACCTTTCTTTCCAAGTCTACTAGTGCCTCTTCAGCCACCCACATAGTGCTCGAGTAACAACGAACAAGTGCCAAGTATCAAATGAGAAATACTGTCTATGCTCACTGCTTAGTAAAATAAATAAATAGAAAACTCACTAGCAATGTTTTACTTATCTCCTATTGGCTCCTAAATTGAGTTTCAAATACAAAAGCAATGTTGACTAATGTGTGCCACAGGGCACTTAGGCAGGGAAGATTCTTTTTCTCTCTCTAGCTCTAATTTAGAGACATTGTTTAACGTCTGAAAACACAGGAGATGGTATTGAGGAAACTACAGCAAATTCTATATCGGCAGCCTTACTCTAAGAGTATCACATTTTAATATGGTTTAAAATCAATCAAGCAAAGAAAATCCTAATTTCAATAACCATACAACTTTCTTAACCTAAAGTAAGACTTCCCATATATGTATTTCTGCTCAAGTAGATTAAGGTCTTCTGCTTTTTTTAGATTCATACTTGCATTTATAATTTCAAGTTAGAGTAAAATTTACCAAAATGACCAGGCCAAACTTCTATCTGGTCTGAATCAGGCAGCTTTCAAAGGAATAGTGACACCTGACAACAGATGAGCATTTGATCTCTTTAAAATGAAGAGATAGTGGATTTCATGTTGAAATTGATTCTCTAATTCAAACTCAGGAAAAATTAGCATTTATTTTCCAAGAGAGGGTCTGAAGCCTGTAAAAGCCATTCTTCTGTGATTCCACTGGAATGTTGAAAATACCTCAAGTTGTACCCCAGTCCCTGCTGCTGGTATTTATTCCCCAGATACCTGGATTTCAGTATTAGAAAAGATGCACAGTAAACTGTTACTGATATATGCAACACTTACCAAAAAAAATTATGCTATGCACTAGGAGTTTGTTAAGAACGGACTTTATCTGAACAAAATGATATATTATCACCTCTGAGTACCATAGCATAGGTGTGAAACTTATTATTGTTAATGAGAATTATAAAACAAAGCCTCTGGGCACTGGAATGAGAAACACACCATAAAATGTTTATCTGAATCCCTGCATAGCTATTTGAGTTTCACAACATTTTTGAAAGGATAAATACTTAATCTAGCGTGTTATTTCCAGTTAAGTCTTGAAATATCTAACTGTTGCAGGTGCCTCATAGATAATTAAGTAGCTTAGTGTGAAACAGTGAAAAATAATGAAATTTTTAAAAAGGCAATAGGAACAAATTTCCCACAACATCAACAGTGTATTTTGCACTTACCCACAGGAGACATCTCGGGAACTCCAGCAGTATAAGGACCATCGAGAAATTTTGGCTCATTGTCATTGATGTCCTGAATCTTAATGACGAACTCAGATTCTGGTTCCACGGGTTTATTAGTCAGCCTATCTAGTGCTTGTGCTCGGAGCGTGTAGTAGGCCTGCTCTTCTCGGTCCAGTCTCTTTGTAGCATGAATATCCCCCGTGTTCTCATCAATAATGAAAATGGAACTTGCCCCTTCGCCTGACAAGATGTATTTGATGGAACCATCTCCTTTATCAACATCAGAGTGAAGCTGGTGAAAAATTGATGAGAGATGAGATTAACTTACAAGAGAGTCAGTGGCATGGAGATATGTAAAAATAATTCTTATGTCGAGCAGTAGTACATGAAATTTTATTGTTCTTGGAAAGATAAGCTGAATGTTTGTCGTGCACGGCATGTTAAGGACCATTAGAATCTATCAGCTTGCTCTTTTGAGAAAGATAATTTCATTCTTTCCTGCAAATAATCTCATTTTCAAATGCATTTGATACTGTCTTACAGCCTTCTCATACCAGAGTTTTACATAGCCACACACATGCACACATATGATTACAACCGTAACTTCGTTCCTACCTGAATTTAACTACATTGTTGGTTTTAGCTTATTATCTTACTGAAGGGTAAGACTTCAAACAAATGTCACTATAAATGTAATGTCAGCGTGTGACATGTGTGGGAGTGTGCATGTGTGGGAAACAGCATACTGTTTTCCTCAGTGTTTACTGTGTAGAGCAGTAAAACATACCTAATGAATTGAAATGGATTGGTTGATAGATTGCTCACTACTATGTGATGGGCCAGTAACTTCACTTCCATATCTTGTTTTCCATTATCTAACTTCAGAAAAATGAAGAGTCTGAGAAAGACCAAGCAGTGTCCTGGCACTGCCTGAACTACACGGCGTTGAAAGTCAGGTGTAGTTTCCCTGGGACAACTTGCAGCAAGCACAGAACAAATGTACCCCAGTAAGTCAAAACGTGTCTTCCATTAGAATTGCGAGACAGATGTACAGACAAAAACTTTCTTCCTCATCATGCACACTATTTTAAGTTATAGAGCAAGATTCCATAGGTTTTGTAGCTCTTTAATGTCTACTGAGACTCACCTTCCTGTTAAAGAACACAGACTCAAACAATTCTCATATACTTTTCAAACTTGTATCAGCAACATAATTAATCTGGATATCGCATTAAGTAACACACAGACATATTTAACATGGTACAAGTGAAAAGAACATCAGTAAAATTCAAAGTACTTGCTCACTTGTTAAAAAGTGGATTACATTACTTGCAAATAGCTGAGGACAATGTTAAAGATGTTAGGATTCTTTATGTCTCTTACCTACTTTGTACCTGCCCTAACTCCATGTCATGTTGAATTTGGAGGTAACTCTACTGTCATCATCATCATAATTTCCTCTACTAACATTTTTTTCCCTCAGCTGGGAGTATCACTGAGATAGTAATCACTTTCAGAATACATGCAGAAAATTGCTATCTCAGGCATAACAGCACAGCTGCAAAACCTTTCCTATTTCATCAGGGAAGTATTCATGATCAGTTTTAAATTTTTCAGCTGGATAAAAAGCTGCCTATTTCTTACATGTTATTTCACTTATACTGTCTGAATATCTCATACTTATGCAATTACAGTGTACTCTCATTTAAGATAGAAATGGAGTCTGAGCTTTGGACTCAATGGAAAAACAGAACTAGGGTGTCTAAATCAGATTAGCTACATTATTTCAAAATATAGCTTATCTTCCTTCTACTGCTACCCAACTCCTGAGATACCTAAACAAGCCTGAGATTGCTTTGGTGGAGTTCTCCAAACATTTAAAGTCCTGCTTCTCAGCACACTCAGGAACAGTCAATGCTGACACCATGAGCAGATCAAGGTAAAACGTATCTCACATTCAGGTTCTTTCAAGATCTGCAGCGCTGCATATTGCTTAGCCCTAATGGCTGAGAGTTTATTCAGTAAACCACACCTCTGTTCAATTCACAAATCTGGCAACTGGGGCTCGTGCTGCTTTTTCAAACTTGACTGGAAGATGTACCCGTCTTCCCGACAAAGGAGCAGTGGCCGGTGCAAGTAAGAATCTGTCTGGTTTGTGTTTGATTTTATTTTACTTTTTTTTCCCTCTTTTCTTTTTCTAAGACCTACTTCAGGGTGCATAAGTCTCCTACGTCCTACAGTCTAGACTGAAATGCTGAGCATCTTATAACCCAAGAACTGAAGTTATGGAATACAAAAATTCGATGCCTTTGTCTTCTTGAAGTGATTCAGTTTTCTTCATATCCCATATTCTAGCAGAGCACTGGTCTTTCTGTGGTGGCTGAGACTCTCCCATTCTCCCTGTAAAAGTTATTCCACCTTTTGCGGCGTGCTTAAGGATGTGTTGGATGACAGAAGAGCAGATGAAACCAGCAGCTTGTCAGGCAGAGCAGTTTTCCGAAGGTTAGACACGTGCAAGCAGATCTCTTCAGGCAGAGAAGAGAAGGGATTCCATCTCTCAGGCTGCTGAGAGCAACATCGCACTCTCTCACAGGGGCGAAGCCGAGCCCATCAGCACACCAGAGCGGAGCGCTCACAGCTGGGTCTCATGCTGCAGGGCTGCACAGCCTCTTTCACCTTGTATTTAGATCCAGCCCTACTCTGAATAACTTTCCAGCAGTGTTTTGAAAGCAAAGAGACCTTCAGGGGAGAAGTCACAAGTGTAAATCTTCAAAGATGTACTGAGTAAGGCTTTCACATCCCAGAGAAAGGAGAAATTCTGTAGCTTCAGCATTTCCCATTTGCTCACTCAGTGGCTCGCTGATTAACACATTGGTTTTTGAGGAGTCCCGCTCTGAGGTCCATAAATCTCCTCATGGATTACACTACAGTGGCTGGTGCCCTGGAGTGAAATGCTGAACAGAAATCACTTTTTGGAACAGTGCCATGGTAGGAAACTGCTACCACACGGATTAGCAAGGTGATTAGCAATGACCTTTGTTACTCAAAGGTTAAAGCTCTGGGAGAGCAAACTTCTTTGTATCTTTTATTAAAACTTTGTTTTACTAAACCTTTAAAAAACAATGCCGGCCCATGCTTAAGTTAGTAAAGCACCATTCTCTACCTACTTAACCCCAGGAAGGTGATAAAGCTTAAGATAAATTAGTTTATCTTTGGCACTATAGTACAATCAATCCTGTGTAAAGCACTCCAAAGAATTTTTTTCAAAATTTTATGTGTATTTTAGTGTCAATCTGAGATACCTTGAAAGTACAATACAAGAGAACAATGCAAAAATAAATTAGGCTGACAGAATACAGACATATGTTTGGTGCAGTTTTCAGACCACTTTTATTCCAGTTCCACCCAATATAATCCTTCCAAACAGTGATCTTCAAAGTCATTGATGTAGCAGCATAAGTGATTTGCAAGTAAGAGCAAAATATTTGAATGCAGCAGTCCTGTACCATATTTACAGCTCTGCTACTATCAAAAGTGACTTCAAAGAAGGTGTTACTTCCAGCTATTTAGTTTAACATTCTAGGAACTAAGAAGTAATATCTTCCTTACAATGTCTGTTTTAGAAAACAGTTTGCACATTCTTTTTTGTTGGTTTTTTTTTAATTATTAATTTCGTTCCGCCTCCCTCCTTTTTTGAAGAAGGAGTACGTTTAAGAATGAGACCTGGGATTTTTATTTGTTCTTGTGGTTAATTTGGCAACAATTACATAGAATTATATTAGTCCTCAGGACAGTTGTACTTTACAGGAAGGCTCCAGAGAGCATCTATGGCAGTGCCATCTACTATTGTCTATCATTCCTCCCACTTTCTACAGAGACATTCATGTAGGAGACAGAACTGGAGCTCAGTCTGTAGCTTCACATGGGGACTATGACTTTAGAAGTAGGGAGGATCAAGACAAAGGCAATTTTAAATTTTTGTTTCAAGAGACACAGGGGATTCAAGGATTCACTGGGTAAATCCCATCTGATCCCATTCTGGACAATCTCAGACAAATTTTCTTTCAGAAGTAGTTTGCAATAAACATTGTAAACAGAATTCCTCCCTCTATTTTCTGAAAGGGGAATGCTATAGGTAAAGATGCTTGTATACTTCCAATTCACTTCATCTATTGCCGCCTCCATGCAATATCCATGGTGGTCGCTCTGCAGTTTGTCTTGGCTTTCAAGTAACCTTATTTCCAGTATGAGATTCAAGATCCAGTTATTATGTGCTGATCCTATTACATTCCCCACACATTTAATCTAAGGATTTTAGGAGTTTTGCCATTGGGTGTTCCCTGCATTACACTAAGAAAGAGTATATGAGAACAGAAAAGAGAAGCAGCAAGCTTCTGCAGAGAGATGACACATTTTTAGCAGGATGATAACTTTTGATGTTCTAGGAAAGTTGGCAGAGTGAATACATCTAATAAGAAAAGCCACACAAGCCTTGTGGAGGCAGAGAGGGCCAGTGCTTAGAAGCTTATTAGAAGACAATTTACTGAGTGCCCTGTACTGTCTCTGAACTCAACTTAAGAAGAGGGCACTCAAATCTTCTTAGGCCCAGCTCCTAAAACTCCTCTCAGTTTTTGAAAACGCTTGTTTGGATATGTGTGTGAGAAGGAAGTAGTGAGCTTCGATCAGTAGCAAAGGCACTATTACCCTAACTCCTTTAATGAACACAATTTTGTCCTCACTTATATTTATTGGCTCTGCAGCAATATAGCTTAGTATAGAGCCTCGCCTAATGCATTTATGTTTATGTGGACCCAGAGGATGATGATTATTCTAGAGAAATCTAAATAATACATTTCCTTTAGTATTCCTAATATCCAATAGTTTCTGGATTTTGTATATTTGTAGGTACAGATCTGCACAACCAAAGATGATGTCATTTTGCATCCCTTGCCATTACAGTATGCTAATGCAGTATTTTCAATAGAGAAGGGCATTTATTTTTATCAGAAAGCAGAGATACTGCACTGCATTGAAAGCAATTTATCTGGCCACCGCCGACCTGTTTGAGATCTGAATGAGAGGTTTGCTATTTCTCTGATTTTCAGTTCAGGATCCCTTAAATCAGGTGTAATGTTCATACGCCTCTCCTCTCTGTTTTTTTTTTTCTTCCCCAAAAATCTCTCTTTGCAGTTGTTCCTCTCCATGGCAGCATGGCTAACGTTTCTTTGCAGAGCTCACAGATTCTAGGTGAAGAAGAAAAGTGCAGGGAGAACATGAGGAGCTGCCGGGTTT